TTTTAAAGATGCTTTTAAGGCTGCCTTGAATGTGAGAAGAGAAACCAGTGAAGTTCCAAATAAACAAAAATAATAAAATCTATTATAGTATAGATTATGGCTTCTCTATGATATAGAGCAGAAACATCCCAATGAGTCATGTAGTTATATTCATACTTATTTTCTAACTGAATATTTGTCACAGCAAGTCCCCAGTCTCTCTCTCTCTCTCTCTCTCTCTCTCTCTCTCTCTCTCTCACACACACACACACACACACACCTAATTAAAAGGTCTAGTCACACATCATCATCCGACATCACATGACCGGTGAGAGCAGCATTTGGTAGAATATATCTTTGTTACCGTTATGCTTACAATTTAAAATTACCCCTCTACTGTGATTAGTGCTTTTGTCCAAAATTGTGTGAGGACTTGTTTTGCCCTACAGGTTTTTGCAGCCTGTCCATTGCTGCAGAGGGACTGCCTTGATGGGAGACTCAGCCCTGTCAATTTGGCTAGTGCACCGACAAGAGGACTGATTTAGGGGTTTTAAAAACTCAACGTAAAAAATAGAAAAATATTAGTAAAAATAATTGCAATCAGACACAAAACCCATATTGGTCATAATAACAGTTGTACATAATTTCCATGTGAGTAAAACAAGAATCTAACTTGCCCAGATATTTTGAATGAAGGTTAGAGCAGTCACTGGTTTGTTGGCAGGCTGCTGGCGGATGGAGGTTGTAGACCTTCCATCTACTTTTCTGACCTCGTGGAGAATATTGCCATCTCCAGAATTGCTCACTCAGAGGAATATGATTAGAATTATGACTATGATTTTTTTTTTTTTTTTACTTCTGGCTGTTTCTCTCTCTCTCACACACACACACACACACACACACACACACACACACACACACACACACACACACACACACGCACACGCACACACACACCTGAAGATACCTACTTCTGTGCCAACACACACATCAACCCGTGCAAAATCACTGTTTCCCAATATGTTTCTGACACACACAAAACTATGCATATGAACTCCCACACACTCCCCACCCATACACTCACACCCACAACCTTGTCATTTCCTATGACATCCCCAGCCTCCATTACCTGCATACATTAACAAACCTCTCTGATGTTAAAAATTATACATTCATACATTTGAATAATTCAGATTATTTTAAAAGCTGTGCACTCACTCACTCTCTTTTTTCCAGATGGAAAGAGAGCTATTTACCTCAAATCGCATTTGAATAAATCCCATAAATCCTTTCAAAGTTCCCTAGGATAAACCAATCAAATACACCCGACGCTGGCTGACTAGCCCAATCAAAATTAGCATTCATACTTGCAGCCTTTTTTTTATTCAAAAGACATCAAATAGCAAATCGAATTGCAGCCTATTTGTGAGGCTCAATTTGTTTGAGATAAGAAAAAGGTGGTTAATAGAGTGAGAGTGAGAAAGAAAAAGGGACATTGCTGCAGAGCCATAATGTAATTCCAAACCTAACAAAAACATTTGATGAAGTAAACAGCATGCCTTTGGTTCATAAATGTGGGAGATAATTCTATTTGTTCAACGAAAGAGAAATATATTATATGTGACAGTCAAAATATACATTAGATAGCCAAAAGGTGTGAACGCCCAACTATTCCTGAGATGAAACCTGCTTATCACACTTGCCAGTGAGTGTGAGTATATTTGTGTCTGTGGGTGCACGTGTGGGTGAAAGAGAAACAATTACAACATGGTCAAGAAGAATCAGGAAACTAGGTTGACAAACTGTTTGTCTTACAGTGTTTCCATTGGGCTAAACACGCTTGTGTGTGTTTGTGTGTGTCTGAGTGTTGGTGAAATGGTTACAATAAGTAAGAAATAAGATAATAAGGATGGAAAAGAATGTTTGTGTACATGAATGGAGCTACGGAGGGCTAAAATGGATCAGCAAGAACAACATTTTTGAAAGGTTTATGAACTAAAACACTTGATTTTGTCTGTTTTCAACACAGAGAACAGTGGATAGATAGTGAAACCTCATCTCTCCTCTCTCATTACCCATCTCTGTGTCTCTGTCTTATTCTAACCGTCCATAAATCATGACAGGCGGTAACCTCCAGCTTCCTCTTTCACTGTTTTGAAAACAACAACTAACCGTCTCTGACACTTATGTTTCCTGTGTTTTTAACGGATTACACACACACACACACACACACACACACACACACACACACACACACACACACAATAACTAACCTCCAAACTGAGGTTCCTGCTTGTCTACAGCTATGGTTAACCAAATATCTATAATTAAAAGTCTATTACACATTTTTAAAGTAAATGTTGGTTTTGTGACTGGTGGTTTAATTGATTATATATTTATTAATTTTATGACTATTGTGTATGTTCTTCATCAAGGCTGTCACTGAATTTCACTACATTAAGTATTTGGGATAATTGATTAAAAAAAAGCACAACACTGAGGGGAAATGTTTACATTACAGGACAGTGATATAAGCACTGTGAGTCACACAACAAATTCTTCCTAAAAGTCAAAAATCCCCCGCATACTTGTAACTCCTCTCCAACAAGTGTAAAGGGAAGGTATATCTTCACCCACACAAATACACCCACTTAGGATCAAGCAGCTGGTGAGTTTGCCCTTGACTGCCCACCCCCGGGCACTGCAGTGGCATGGATGCAGCTGTTTTAAAGAGCTCTGGTTGGGACTTAGAAAGCCATGTCCTTGTCAAGGGTATATTCTTGTTTTTCATTACCCAGATATAAACTGAGGCTATGTTCACACCGACAATAGCACTGTTTAAAAAAATCCCTGGCTCCTTATTCATGCCAATGAGACCACTGCGTTGGTAGCGACAGGTGCTGCTAGCAGACGGCTCCAGATAAACAGTTGATCTTTCCTATTGCTGTGGCAGAGTCAAACATCATACAGCAACACTCGAGGCTATCTGACAAAATACGTGCAAGCATCCAATCCATACCGGGTAGAATACCTGGTAACAAGTAGCTTTATGTTATTTCTTCGCATCGCTGCTGTGATCCTGCCAAAAAAGATGACTTTCTTTTGGTACCTTTATTAAGACAACCCCTTGTGTTTTTTGGAAACAGGTTAAACCAAATCATACCCAGTCATACACATTACAACTTTTAAGGGTTTGTAAGAATTTGCAACTGTGTCAGTGGTGCGTTCTTGTGCCAGCAAGAATCTCTGCCTCTCTCTCGCTCAAAGTTCAGACTGAGGCACTAACTAAAAGGCAGAGTGGATGAGATGGAAAGATGCCTGTACTGTGCTAGTTATTGTTTACTCATTGTGCTGCCTCAGTCAACATGTATGTAAAATCTCTAATTGCCCAATTCATTCATAAATTATAGCTAAAAACCTATTTTGAGTTCACAATGACCACACAATGGCCCCATATGACGATTTCATGGCTAAAAACCCGACTCCGAATGTGTCAACAGGCCAACTACCACCTGGCAGGAATCACTACCTGAAATGTTCGAGAGTATAACTCCTTATGAACGAGATTAAAAGCAGTACTGCCAAATGACCCAGGCAATAGCAGAGTTACTGTAACTTGCTGGAAATCAGTAAGATTCATATTTATTTTCATCTATTAATGTTCACATCAATTCATCTTATTTCATCATAGACTTGGCCTACATGAGTCCTATGTTGACCGTATCCAACGTTGTGCTGGTCATACTCTAGAATGAGGTTTTGCTTTTGTAAAGGGAATAATACATTAGATAAGTAACTTCAAATTGGCCTATTTTCTCATATCGTTCAGGCCTATTTGTTAGTGTAGCATCTGCTATTAAAAAGGCTGCTGTTCATCAATTGACTGTCAATTTGTTTTTTGAGTAGGTGGTTCCAAAAGCACTGGTTTGCACCACAGCCCAACAAGTGTTGGCTATGCTTTTTAAACAAATGGGATACATGTAAAAATAAAATGTAATATAATAATATAAATGTGAGAATCTGTGTATTCACAGTACTGTAACCAAAAGCTTACTAGCACCTTGAAGAACGAGATGTTCAGAAGTAGCAGAGGGAGGCGATGTGCTAAATACTGTTTGTAAGAAGCATATTTTTCTACTAGCATTAACAGTGTTAGAAATGGTTACATTTTAGTCATTCTATGAATATGCACACAAGGGTTACACAATTAAGCTGTCAAATGCATGTCTTTGACAACTCACAGGAATAAGGTTTATATACAGACACTGATTAAACAAGCTGTAGATTTGATCAGGATTTAAAAATCACTTCTAAAATGTCCATCGACAAATTTTCAGGTTGAACTACATTTAAATTATGTGCATGAGTAATGGAATGTTAATAGGATGAGACAATTGACCTTAGCTTGTTGTGGAGTACTCCAGGCATGAAGACCCGAAACGAAGCATTTGACATGAATTAGGCTAGGAGGTTTGTAATCCAGTGGAGAGGAGAGGAGGGGAGATCATGTGAGTGAGTTACAAAAAAAGTGAACATGGATATGAATTCCATTAAATATGTTTATTTGTGTTATTTGTTCCAATGTCTGCTAAATAACTTGAACTTTTAACAGATAATATGCTGTATATAGTACATTGTGTGAAAGTGAGATTTGTGTTGTCAATGTGCAGGACTTGCCCTTGACTGACCCGCCTTGGGCTCTAATAGAGACATGGCCTGCTGTGCGGTTGGGGATTCTGGGAGTCTACTTTTAAGGAACAGATGCCAGGGCACAACAGCTGTTCATCTGGCACAAAACTCTCCAAGAACCTAGTTATCCAATATAAGCACCTTCAACTACCCAAGAGCAGCACTTCCAGTTCCACAGCATATAAATCACGTATATTAATCAGTATAATTGTTGGACATTCAGTGACCTTTAATGCTATTCAAGTACCTCTTTTTGGAAATGATGCAGCATATAAATACTATATCTCAAAGTCATGCTGTAATCGTCTGTGTGAGAGAAGCAATGTACTCACCCTGGAAAGACTGCCTGGCTCTCTCAGCTAGCTCCTCGATGGGATAGCTGGCCAGGTCTCCTCTGGCATGCTTAGTCTTACAGTAGGTACATGCATTCAGACACCTAGACGGACACAAACAGATAAACAGAGAGACGATGAGAGAAAGACAAACGGATGGATTCCTTAGGAAGAGAGCAGGATTGTATAAAACGAAGCACAAAAATATAAAAAAAAAATTCATCATACTATTTGGTTTATGCTAAGGCATAAAACAATGAAATATTTGGCAAGTTAATAGTTCAACAAAATGTAAAAAAAAAGTTGCATTTCGAAAATGCTATGAAAAAACTGTAATTTAACTTTTTCATTCATAATTCATATGTTTGGGTCTTGTACTACACTTGGCAGGCATTAAAGTGACCAACACAAATATGTATTGCTTTTAATGATTCATTTGTGTATTTTATAAAACTAAGAATTACACACAATAAAGCATTACAACATAACATCTAAAAACTGGCCTTTTGGATTATTAACAACATTTTCACTTGAATCCACTCAACTGAACTGTAGAAATGGGAGGGGCTGTGGAGAAAATGGTGTGTTAAAATAAAAAGAGGAGAATTTTTAATGTTTTAATGAAATCTATTCATGCAATAACCCTGCTAACCCAATAGAGCAGAATCAGGAGAAGAAAGTAGGGAGTCAGAACTGTCCTTTCTCTACTAAACTGTTTATAAAGGAATGCAGCTAGCTCCAAAATAATCGTGGACAGCTGTCTCTCAGACCGAGGCAAGCAGCGAAAAGATTAGACTCAATACAGTTTTTTGTTTTACAAAACATAGAGAAGCTTAATTCAAACTGACCATGAAAGGGACGGAGTGAGACTATGAAGCATAAAAATTTAAAGAAGAAACTCAATACGGAGAAATTAAAAGAAGAAAAACTGCCTCACACCAGATCCAAAATCATGGCGTGGTATCAACTCTAGGGGAGTCTTTGTTTAGGATGAAGCAGACTTTTATTCAAGAGTTGTCAGTAAATCACTGCTGAAAAGAAGAAGGAAGGCCACTGTTGAAAGTACTTTTTGTATTTACTCCATTGGGGCTTCATTTCTGACCTTCAATTTGTCATACTAGGTTAAAAATATACACTGTTACTGCTACCACAGTAGCTTCTTTTAAATCACAATTTCACTGTTGGCTTACATTTCTGGCAACAGCTCAGTTAGTTGCAGGACCATGCTATTGGGTGATCACAAGTTAAACACTGTAATTTGTTAAATATGTGTTTGTGAAAGGAGAAATAAGACCAAGCTGCTTTCTCTAAAAAATATAAATTTTCACCATTTGCTATGTGTGCTCCAGCATAGCACAAAAAAGTTGCAAATAAGTTTGGCACCTACACCTCTAAGATTTGGGGCTTCGATTTCCTGTATATCTCAGTTGAAGCTGAAATATAATACTGACACATTTAATTCTCAATGGAGCTACACTTAGCACAAACAACATCTAATATGTAGACTACAGCATGTCAAGTGGTGTTTTCACTGAAAGCCCCAACCAGGGTTTCCCGCAGCACTTTGCAGCTAAGGCAGCCGCCTTAGCAACACACGCCTGCCGCCTTAACTACGTCGTCAAAAAAAAAAAAAAAGTTGGCCGAGTGATATGAGCAATATGAGTGATATCCGCCGTGCTACTCTATCCTGTTTTCTCCCTTTCATTCCAAACTGTGACCAATGCCAGTCTCCCTTCTCCGCAGAACGCATTAAAAAAAATAATGAAAAACGTGCCATGAATCGGAAAATAATCCGTTTTTATAATCTCTAAATATGTGATATGCCTCCGAATCGTGTGTTGCGTCCAAACAGTGGCATCTGGTGGTTGTCATCGCGCTATCTATCATCGTTAACCAAACATTCTACAACATTCTTTATCCGGGTAAAAAGAAAACATTTTTGGGTGAAGACGTTCATCTGGCATTTGGATAGCCTGTCGCATCGAGGTAAGATAATTATTCTAAATTATCTAAATTCTATAAATACTTGAATAACCTGTAAACTGCTCGCTCGAAGTATCTGAAATTATTATGATAGGCGTAATGTTTTCTTATCAAGGCTACTTGCGTTTACACGAGGTTGTCTTATAGCTATACGTTTGATGATTGCACATGATTTTCTCTCGCACTGTACACAGCCAAATGGACAGAAAAACGCAACCAAAAATTGCGGGCTTCTTCGTACGGCGAAGCAAGCCTACCTTACCATCCGCACCGCCACCCCCACCCCCCCATCTGATGGCAACCAATATCCCTATCCTAACACATTTCCTGCGGGAAACCCTGCCCAACCAAATCAAACTGACCAATATAGTGACCACAGTCCAGCTGCTCATGAAGAAAATACCATCTATGGCCATCTATTAACGCAGCACTACTACTACAAGTGGTTCAGACAGAAAAAAGATCAAAAGCTCCAGTTCCTCTTTAATAAACTTGTCACAATGTTAAAATTGGTTTGCTATGGGATTTATACACTCCAGTGCAATGACAAAAACATCTTACTAATGATTAATAACCACCAAATGCTATGATGTAAGGCAGCTAGTATGAGACTATAAAATCAGACTGTTGTAGATAACAAGCGTAAATCCTGTTTCTGTCCGTGACAGACTCATTGAGAAATAACAGGGATTCTCCAGCACAAACAGGCCAACAACACACAACTCCTGTTGAACCAAAGATACAACTGTCCTCGTGTTTAGATGAGTGACTTCATTCTTCTTCAGTTACTTCTCAGAATGTGCAAAGACATTACAGTTCACAGACAAGTCCACATACAAAAATGGTCTTAACGCTTCACTTTCAATCTATTTCTCAAAATAAGAAAAGTTCGACTGAATGCTACTATTCACACAAGGATGCTGCCAGGTTTTACCACAGTCCACTACTGTTGGCTACAGAGCAGATCAATTGCAACAAACCTGACAAAGGCAGCAATGCAAAACATTATCAGTAAAAAATTAAGAAAAATAACCTATAGCTTTAAGAACACTCTTTTGTAGTTTATTTACTGTGAGAAACCCTGCCGAAACACCTACAATATGTTATATATCTTATATAATTTTGAAATACAACCAAATGCCCAGGGCATTTTTAACAAAAGAGAATAATGCTATCTATCCATCCATCTCACCCTCTCAGGGTATTGCTTATCCTAGTGGAGGGCACTAAAGATGGCAGCTAGGTCACAGGGCCTAGCTGTGGAGAAAACACAGACAGATGGGGCCCTGCATGCACGCACACACGCACACGCACACGCACACACACACACACACACACACACACACACACACACACACACACACACACACACACACACACACACCACCAGGGGGTCCATCCATCTTAATGTGATCAGGCCCAGCTGAGTGGATCACACCAACATTAATCTCAAGAGACAGTCAGTGGCCTGCTTCACTGTGTGTCTGTGTTTGCATCAATTATGTGCATAGTGTGTTCATATGTGGCTGTGTGATTGTGCTGCTGCTTAACATTTGTCCAGTATCACAACAACGCATTAGCAGTTTCGACTTCTCCATCAGCTTAAACAGACTGCGACAACTAGTCAGCACCCTAGAAAGACAGTGACTGAAGCAGAGGAGCAGTGTCACTCTCTCTGACACACACACACACACACACACACACACACACACACACACACACACACACACACACACACACACACACACACACACACACACACACACACACACACACACACACAGCTGAGAAGAGAAAAGAAATAAAAGACTGAATTTACACAGTGACTTCCCATCACTAAAACTAACTACCCAGTAACAACAAAGCTCCAGTGTTATATGGGAGAAATACTTCTAGAAATAAAACAAAATATTATATCCTCGTTATCAAGCCACAATCCTTTCCCTCCTTTGTTTGTCATCTCCCCCTTCTGTTTCATCCCAGTTAATTAAACCACAGAGGTAGCTGTTGTACCTGACAACAGTGTAGTTCATCAATGTGTTAGAATAAGAGAGGCTACCTCCCCTGTGTGTGTGTGTGTGTGTGTGTGTGTGTGTGTGTGACATGTGTAAGAGAGAGAGACTATTGTGTGGTTGCAGCCTTGAAAATGTAACAAAGAAAGGAAAGCCCTGAGCTCTATACATTCTCACACACACACACACACACACACACACACACACACACACACACACACACACACACACACACACACACACACTCTTTAGTCTCCCATGTGCAGCATGTTGAAGATACAGATTGGGAAAGAGCTGAGCAGGAAAAGGTTTTCTCAACGATAAGCATTTAGGGTCTACACATTAATTAGAAAACTGCTCTATGCATAAACAAATTGTACTATGGTACTATGTGTGCATTTGTGTGTTCATTGGGGTTGGTATTGTGTGGGCTTGAAGATGCAATTATGAAAACAAAGCTTAAACTGTGAGGGGAAGTCTAAGCACTTTGCAAATTATGAAGCAAGATTATTCATTGCACTTATTGTTGAGGCTGGGAGAGAGGTGGAGTGGGTATATGAGCAAACAAAATCTTAAAACTGCTATTATATGAGTGAACAAAGCGTCAAGCCTGTAAGTTTACTGTTAGTGTCATCTCAAAGTCAAAGAGGAGGGTGCGAAATAATGTGGAGTCAAGGAACAAAGAATAGTGACACAATGGAGTAAAGACCTATTAGGAGCAATGAATAGAGGATGATTAGTTTTTTAGAGAATGGTTGGCAGCTAAACCTTATTTACCCTTGAATGAGTTAGAGACGGCTACATTCTGTTTATATGCACACCAATGATCTTGTGTGTCTCTGATAAAGACTTCCTTATATCTCGTATCTTATTAAGGGTTCTAATATTAAAGCATGATCAGGATGCGGGAGGAAAGAGAAATGTAAGTGCTTATAGCTTGTTGCAAAGTTTGACCTTCATGGCTCACTTTTAAGCAAAGAAATGGTGCGTTGATTAAGCAAAGACATTGCTGCACTATGGAAAAAAAGCAAAGAAATTTAATTGTGTGAGAAACCAGAGCAAGAATTTTATCGATAATTGCAAACAAAGAATATCAATATGTCTGCCCT